ACAGCCTGCTCCACCATGGTCACCATGGGCTGCAGGGGGACAGCCTGCTCCACCATGGTCACCGTGGGCTGCAGGGGCACAGCCTGCTCCACCATGGTCGTCACCACGGCCTGCAAAGGAATCGCAGCTCCGGCACCTGGCGCAGCTCTTCTCCCTCCTTCTTCACTGACCTTGGTGTCTGTGTCCCTCACATATTTCTCAGCCTCCTCCTCCTCCTCTGGCAAAACTACTGTGGCTAAACCCTTTGCTTTGATTTCTTCTTAAATACGTTTTCACAGAGGCGTAACCACCATCTCCAATTGGCCCAGGTTTGGTCAGTGGCATGTCCATCATCCTCAGAGCCAACAGCAGTTGTCTCTGCAGGACATGRTGGAAGCTTTTTGGCCCCCCCACTTCCAAAAACTAGGCCAAGCAAAACCAACACGGTAAAGCTTGCATGTGCTTGGAGAGGGAAGAAGGCAGATAACCTAATAAGGATTTTTAAAGAATTCTTTAAACTCATTACAATAGTTGCAGGGTTGGGTTTTTTTATGTCTTAATTCCAGTTAGGAGGAGTCACATGGAATTGCAAATATATACTTTTTTTCAGGTTATTGCATGTGAAATTGACCCCAGGCTTGTTGGTGAGCTTCAGAAGAGAGTCCAGGGCACGTAAGTATCAATTGTGGAAACAGGGAACACTTACAGCAGTGGAGCTATTTTGACAAAAATTTTGGCAACATGCCTATTTGAGGATAATTAGAATGTATTTTTTCCCCTAGGTGTCTAGCAAACAAACTTGAAATCAAGGTTGGAGATATCTTAAAAACAGATTTACCATTCTTTGATGCATGTGTGGCTAACCTGCCCTACCAGGTATGGGCTAAACAGCATAGCATACAACACCATAACAGATTTTACTTTTAAATGCTGATTTCCCAGTAATTGCACTAACATTGTTAATTTTTTTTCTTAGATTTCTTCACCTTTTGTTTTCAAGCTATTGCTTCATAGACCTTTTTTCAGGTATGTGTAAGAATAAAGCTCTGTATGACCTGGTAGGAAATAAAATAATTTTTTTTAATATTTTCAAGTCAAATATTTTTTTTTATTTCTTAAAATAGCACCTTGATGTATCAGAGTTGTGCCAGTTTTTTTTTGTAACAATTGCCTAGCTGTGCCTGGAAATTAAGTTGACGTATTGAGTATGAGGAGGAAATTTAAGCTCGGCAACAAGTTGTGCCCAGCAGATAAAAACAGGAGTTGCACCTTTCTAATATTACAATGAATTATTCCAGGGATAAGCAGGGCATCATAGCATTTCAAATACCTTCCTACCTGAAAAAAGGGTGGAAAGTATAGAATGAATCCAAGTCACTTTCTTGTTGTCTGGTCTAAAAATGTAACTGTCTTGTCTATGTGTCAGACATCAGTGTATCAGCAGCTCTTGATTTCTCTCACTGAGAGGAATGTTGGTCAATGATGKTACTGGTTAATTTTTGGAAAATTTGGATTTGAAGGACTCACCATAGAGTTAGTCAAAAATATTCGTCATAATTGGGCGACTCTTGAGACTAGTCTCTTTGATCCTGATACATTTAGCAGTATAAATAATCAAATTCTGTAATTGAGCTTTCAGAAGGCTTAGATGGCTTCACCAAGTTTTGTGGGGGCTTTTGGTTTTTTTTTCAACACACTCCAATCAAGGCAGTTTAGTTACTGTAAACTTTAACTGCTTCTAAGTGCTGAGGCAAATTGTGTTTTCCAAGTGTGTTAGTTGGCTTCCGACATGAAAGTTGATTACTTAGAATTTGTTTTCTCATTTCTGTTACTCTCAGGTGTGCAATACTTATGTTTCAGAGGGAATTTGCACTTCGTTTGGTTGCAAAACCAGGAAGTAAACTGTACTGCAGACTCTCTATTAATACTCAGTTATTAGCTCGAGTGGACCATCTGATGAAGGTAGGTCAGTCATTCTGCATTTAGGTAACTCAGGTATCAAACACAGAAGAGTGTTTCAAGGGATATGAGGAATTTGCAGCTTATTCACACAGCTGCCTGACTGCTCTTGATTAACAGGTTGGAAAAAACAACTTCAGGCCTCCTCCCAAAGTTGAATCCAGTGTTGTCAGAATAGAGCCCAAGAACCCACCACCACCTATCAACTTCCAGGTGAGCAGCGTATRCTCAACATAACCTACTAGTGATAAGTTAATTTCATTTTGCTTTTCTCTTACTACTCAATTCCATGTGCTGATTCTACTACAAAGTATCAGCTATTCATTGTAGTTTCCACAATCCTGTGTTGCTCAGGCTTGTGTTAGGACATTAACAGAAAATATCCCCATTAATTGGGTGCAGCTTTGTGTACAGTATTCCACATAAGACTMTGGTTAGTTGGAAAGCTGCTAGTAATAATGTCCCTTTCTTCGTGGCTGATCTCTCCCAGAGATGTTGCTGGCTGATRATTTTGTAGGCTTTGATCAAAGGAATATCTGTTAGATTTATCTTCAGACAAGTGTGTACAATCTCAGAAGGCAAATGTTACAGAACAGTATTCTTAGTTTTTAAAAGACTTCAAGACCAGTACAGTCTTGCCCATGGTTACCCAGATTTTCTTCAAGTATCCGCCTTSTCTGTGTGTAAAATCTGGCCAATAGCACCTAGGGGCCAAAAAGGTTTTTGTGGGTGAAGTATTTTCTCCTCCATTTGTAATCCTTTGTTCAAGACAGGACTGGTTTTGTTTTGTTTAGAAAGATATTTTCATGAAGGATTTTCCTTTTTGTTCAGTTTTGTTTTGAAGTTGTCAGTAGAAACTGTTTTTTGTAGAAGCTCTGCATTACTTTCTGTAAATTCTGAAATTTTTAATTTCAGGAATGGGATGGTCTGGTAAGGATAGCATTTGTTAGGAAAAACAAGACACTCTCTGCAGCATTTAAGTAAGTAACTAACTTCTGTCAAATATTTTTGAACTTTGAAAGCCTATCCAGTATTTCTTTTGTGCAAATATGTAGCAGCATTACATGCATGCCAGCACAGTCAGGGACAAACCCATGATGGAAGATTTTTAATGAGGTCACAAGCCTTTTCTTTTAGAAGAAAGCTAGGCAGCTGTTTACAAAGAGCAGTTCTATGTAGTTGTTACAGTTTTTTATAGTAGACAACCAATTTATTAACATTAAAGTTTATTAACAGCCAATCAAGTGAACAATAGTTACAGCTGAGTTTTCATCCTAAATATGTCTTTATTTCAGGTCAAGTGCTGTAGAGCAGTTGCTGGATCATAATTACCGAATTCATTGTTCCTTACATAATACAGTGAGTTCCATCTTAACCTATTACCTTCTATATGACCTACATACTGACTTCTATAAGAATAAAAAATTAACATTGAAAAGCTTAATGTATTAGATATTTCCTAAAAGAGTTTGAACATGGAAGGAAGTCGCCTCTTTTCTTAGAGAAAAATGTAAAAGGGTCATTAAATCATAGTGAAAAAGCTTGAAATCGAGTGTGTTATTTTAATATTGTCCATATATGTRTGTCTCAAGGTTTTTTACTAATTTAATTAAACATTTTGTGTCTGCTGTGCAGTACTGTTGTGATTCATTTCTAATGTGCTGAGATACAAAAATTCAGATACAATAGAGTATTACAATAATCTCTTCTGGGAAAAGTATAACTTATTTTTTTATCACTTGAAACAAGAACTATTCTAAGAGCAGGAAAGAGATTATTTAAATGAAACTTTTTCTATGTTATAAAAAGAAAATAATTCCTATCCTATTTTTCTTTGACAGGAAATCCCTGAAAACTTCAAAATTGCAGAGAAAATACAGACAGTCCTAAAAGATACAGGTTACTCTGAAAAACGAGCCCGTTCAATGGATATAGATGATTTCATTCGGTATTCTTTTTTTTCTTTATGCCTTCCTTTTAAGCTCTGCATCTGTACCTGCATAGCACAGATTAGCATAGAAATAGTAGGGTTTCCCTCTCAGTACCAGACAGTCCTTGCTTCCAGTCCTGAACATGAGCAAAACCTTAAGCTCTACATATATATTTTAAATGCTGGTTATAATATTGAGAAGCAACTAACTAAGGATCCCTAATACAGGTGCATGTGTACTAGACACCTTTGTCTCCTTTAAAAATAGCTATAGTGTCAATTGGTTATTAAAACTTCGCTGGAGTCTTACACAGCCTTTCTCTGTCTTGAGAATTACGCCATAATCTATAGAATGATTTCAATTATGAATAATTAATTTCTGGTGGCATCATGAAGCCTAATTCATCATAAAAGTTCCTAGATGTTTCATAGTGTGAGAGCTAAGACAACTGCCCCTCTGTGAAGAAACATAGTGAACCTGATAGGATCCAAGATAGAACTAAGTGCACTGAAAATAAACCTATTTGTTCTGTGCATCTCTAATATGGCAAATTTGCTCATAACTTCTCATTTTGGACATGTAAAAATACTTGCTTTGCAGTTGATCAGTGATGGCTACTTTCATGCTATTTTCTTTGCCAGTCAGCACATCTTAGAAACACCTTAAACTGTAGTTTAAATTGCTAGAATTCTAATATACATATTTCACTCTTTCAGATTGCTGCATGGCTTCAACTCAGAAGGCATTCATTTTTCATAGATCCTGCTAGAAGATTGAAAGATGCTGTATTTTTTCACCAAAGTTTTTCCTAAGCCAGAGTGGTTGAAATGGGACAAGCTTTTCTTGTGAAAGCAATGAACAGAATACAGCGTATATGCTTGGACTAATAATAAAATGTTAGATGCAGTCTTATCACGGACAGCAGGCAAGAAGCTGCTGCTGTATTTTAAAAGCAGTAAATTCTTTCACAGCTGAAGTGAAATGCTGGACTACTTCATGACAATGTTTTTCTAAATATACCCAAAACATGGATTGATGATAACTGAAATCTGTGTTCTCTTATCATGGACTTCACCTAAGTACATTCATACACAATACTCAACAGTACAACCCATAAGGGGTCTGGATAACAAAGTAATTCTGGGGTTTTTTTTGTATCAATTGTTTGTGTTTGTTTTAAAGTGTATTTAAACACTTTGTTTTGATCTGAGATGCCTTTCTCTCCCGTCCCTCTGGTAATTACCCGCATTCCAAGCCTATGAGTAATCTGCTTCTCCTAGAGAAATCCCAGGGAGTGTTTCTCAGAAAACAAAAGAATTTATCTTGTGGGCTTGATGTCATTTACAGAATTGCCTTAACTGTTTCCTCCACTGTAGGAAGCAGAAAAATACCAAAGGGTCAAGGCTTACAAACACACACAGAAGAAGGGTTGGGGTTTTGGTCAACCGTAAATTCAAGCAGCTATTTTTTTAAGGTAACTATTTTGCRCTTCAAGGCAAGGAGAAATCTTAGCACAGATCATAGCTTTCAATGAGACTTAGAGCAGTGCATGCAAATTAGCAAAACCTTGAAGAAAAGCTGCTTTTATGCACATTGAATCATTAAGGTTGGAAAAAACCTTAAGCCTGGGTTCAGCTAGCAGCACCATTGACATCCCCGGACAGTTCTTCAAAAGTAGTTGATTCAGATGCATGTGTAGAAATAGTCACTCAAATTTACAGGCATCCTGAAGCACTGACTTCAAAAAGTGAATTGCACGTTTATTTCACAATTTGATAATTCARTAATTCTAGTGCTGCTTTACTTCATGCAGAACCAAATGGTGAGTTAGGTAAATAGCCACAGAGAATATGCTCAGACTAATATAGAAGGAATAAGTGCTGAAGGTTTGGATCACACTTCCTAAATGCTTTTGTTGTAAAGGACAGGAATCAAGGATAAGCCTGAGTTCCTTCAAGTAATTTTAGTCCATTATGGCAGTGAATTCTAGGTGCCACAACCAGCCCCATTATGTTTTCTTGATTGTCACTGTTTCAGTATCAGTGTAGCTCTGACTTAGAGCAGGTTCTGGTGCAAAGACTGGCAGTAGACACAATTTCAGCTTGCATGTACTAGCTGACTGGACACATGTAATTTAAAGGGCTTTGTAAAAAGGTGCTGAAAGCTGACAGTCCTTCCTGTCCATTTTGGCACCCATAGTAAGCCACAGCCTGGTTGTGCAGCTATGCTTGCATGGACAAATAGTACGGAAACCACTGTTACTCTGGTAGGATGCCTCACTCTTCAGACGCATTTTAGAAAGTAAGAATTCTTTAGAGGAGCTTGAGAGAAAATTTCTGATATTATATAATAATTTGTACTGTCACCTGCTAAGAAGCTGCTGCCTTCCATTCCATTGTTTTTTCTTTTAGCTGTGTTGTGGGTTAAGGTTTCCCCTTTGGTTTCCTTCYTTGGGGAATTTTTCTTTCCCATTTTGTTGCTGGGATACACTGATTGCCAAGTMAYTCTTTTGATGGTTGGGCGATTGGGGAAGRCAAAAGAACCTAYGCCCCACCCRAAGGGTCTCCCTGGGCACTGCTCCTAGCTGGCAGGTTTTGTTTTTTTATCCCTCTCTTTGGAGAGAGGGAAGTTCTTGCAGGAGTTTTGGGCTCGGGGAGGGCGTGTGTGTACGGGGCAGGGGATAGCTTCACTTCCTGCCCAGCTTGGCTCAGGGAGKACGGTGGTCCTGCTGCTGCAGARCCCAGCATCTCCRGTCATTGGTTCCTGTTCACTGCACTGTGATCTTCTGCCCCCGTGCCTTGCCGGGGACCCCTGCGATTCCAGCTACAGTGGTCGAGATCTGCTGCATCCCRTCTGCAGCCGCGGGATTCTGCTCGTCTTTTTGCCCATCTGGCCATTCTGAGGCTCCTTGCTATCCAGAGGAGGCACTAAGATCGGCGTTTCCGCTGTGAGTTTGCAGAGAAACTTTTCTCCATCCATCCCTGCCATTCTGTGTCCATAACTGGCGCTGTGGGAGATCTGAACCCACCGGGACCCGCGGCACAGCGCCCCCTGCAGCCGCCGGGGAATCATCGCACCCGCCCTGCCCGGCCGGGAGCCAACAGCGCCCCTGCCGACTGGGACTGTAACTGCACCAAAGGGGAGGCTGTGTCTGTGTGTGAGGCTGTCACTGGGTTTGTGGCTGGGTTGATTGTTGCTATCGATGTTGTTACTTGTTTCACCTTGTTATATATATTAGTAAAAACTGTTATTCCCTTTTACCCATATTCTTGCCTGAAAGCCCCGTGATTTCAAAGCTGTAATAATTCCGAGGGAAGGGGAGTCATATCCACCACTCTGAGGGGGTTCCCTGCCTTCATCAGCAAACACCTGTCTTTCAAACCAAGACAAGCTGTGATGGGCAGTGATCTTAAAAAAATGTTCAGAAAGAGGTGTGATTTTTTTTAAGATCTACTGCAACGGTCAGGACAGTGGTCTGGGGAACTTCTTTCTATATAACAAATTTGTACAGAAGACCTGGCTTCAGAAGTACTTCTGAAATCAGAGGCCTTTTCAAAAATGTAACTGATGAGCGTACAAACTGAAACCCTTCCCAAAGCACAACAAAAATTCTCAGATGCAATTCATTTAATAGCTTAATTTATTAAACACATTATGTAAAATCTACATTGTTTCAGTTTTCATGTTTACACACAGGAGGATTTTTTAACCATGATGCGACAAGAGCTTCCCATAGCCTACCTTTCTATGGGAGATACAAACATTAAACACTACAAGAAGTTCTGGCTCATTTAACTCTCTTTTCATTGCCTTCCCCTTATATCCCCTCTAGGCCTGACACAAACGAACAGGCTTGTATTTCAAAAGTAATGTTAAACATTTCCAAGGGAAAGTCTGCTGATACAAACTCCTGGAAAGAGGGAGAACTCCTAGAGAGGTCTACAGTTCTTCATTTGACAAGAAGTTCTTACATGAAAGGTCAATCTTTTTTGGATACTGACTTGCAAAAATAACTTGAGTGCCACCACCTAAAAAGTGCTGATACACATGGCGCCATTTGTGAGAACTTGTGGGATTTCTATTAGCGCTAGGTAGAGGTATTGTGCAAAATCGTCAAATGATGCAATTTCACCCCACTTTTCAGCTGCTGGCACTGTACAAAGGGAAAAATAGGTACTAGCTACTTCTTAAAGCAACAGAACTACTCAAACTACCTGCAAACTACGGTTAATGTACATGTAAGTTTGTCATGCATCAAAAGTCAAGGTTTTAAAACAGTATGTGAAAGGCCAGTATGGATGTATTTATCCCCAAAGTTTGATAGTTAACTTATCCATACATAGCATTATCACACCATACCACATATCATATTATCTGCATTATCCTAAGATACAACTCTCCTCAGTACTTAAAACATTACCCTTTAATATACATCAACTAATTTATATTTTTTGTGGGTTTTTTTTGATTTGTTGGTTTTTTTGGTTTTTTTTTTTTAATTATTACAGATAAAATGTTAGAATTATATAACCATTCTTAATGGTATTCAAATAAATCAAGATTCCAGATTTTTACAAGGAAAATGGAATGTCCAGCTGTTCATCCATTCAACAGCCTGCAGTTCCTCTTAAAATGATATGGCACATCCTGTGAAATGAAACTAGCCACCAAAAATAAGTCTTGGAACACATCAAGAATGTACACACACTAAAGAAACTTATATTGACAAATAAGGAATGTAGTTTTTTAAGGCTGTGCTTCGGAAAGAGGATGTTTAGGGTTATGTAGCCTTCATCAAGGCACAGAATGGGAAGAGTGAGCACAGCTGTTTGTGGAAGAGAAGTTACGTAAAACCACTAGCTGAGGTGTGTGCATGCATGCCACAATTTTAAACTGCACAGCTGGTCTTTGTAATAAAACTGAACATGGTCAGAAGGAAGTGCTGTGACATTTTAATGGCCACAGTTTTACTTTATTAAAAATATGGCAAGTATCTCCAAACATTTCACTATTTGAATAAATGAAATATTTAAAACAAAGTGCTTCACAGATCTGAACCCTGCATGGTTGTGCTGTCTGGTCTAGAAGCATTTTGTAGACATCATAGGAGCACTTCACATAAAACTGAAAATGTCATTCAGGTGAATAAGAAACAGGACATTTCCACAAACATTTCTAACATTTTTACACTTTCAAGTAGTTGAATTCTCTCGGCCACTAGGTATTGTAACAAATGTGTGCTACAGCAGTACGGGTTCATGGATTCCTTTAGCAGCAGAGGCCCATTTCAAAGGGCACGTGGTCTTTTCGGGTTGATCTGTTTACTGGCCTGTTCCTCCTCTTGCAGAGCTGCCCGGAAAGATTTCACTTTGTCTTTAATGAAAAAAGAAGAGAATGAGTACTGGTAAGCCTGTGCTCAACAAATCTTGAAACACATCCCAACCCTAAAGCACAACAAAGAACATTCCTCTACAAAAATAGCTGACACTACAAACTACAAGAGGATTGAGATAAGCTTACATTCAATACCATACAAACAAGTTGCTTAGCAACTTAGTCTCTTCTTGGATGCTACCCCTGTTTCTAGGCAGGATACATCTGTGAACTGCACTTGTATTTCCAGTATATAAACTGTTCACACTTACATTCTCCTATCTTAGAGAGTCTAGGGACATAAACACCACCTACATCCTCTCCCTCACAGAACCTTCCAAACTACTCTTAGGGGCATACAAAATCATATTTAGTGYACAATCTGCCATTTCTATACAAGACCCAGAAGAGTTAATTCKAGTCCCCTCTGTTTTCTAATGAATGTGTAAAACATTTATGAGTAAGTTTTGGAACCCACTCATTGTAAATAGTTAAATGCATCACTCACTGGTTTCATCATAATTCAGTAAGAATGGGAGAAATTTAAGAAACTAAGTGTGGCATCCTCTATATATTTCTATTCCTGTTCCTTCCATTCCCCAGTAAAATGCCCACGAATGGGAAGAAGGAAGCCAAAATGAGAGCAAAAGTATGAYAGTGACAGAAGTAAAGACTGAACAATTCAGCAACTATTTTGTGCCAYGAGACGAACACAGAAGATACTGAGAGAGAAGTTTTGACTGTACATGTGTTCTCTCC